ATCCAAACTGAAACCTAATCAAGGGAGGTGTATAAATAAACAAACACCCAAAGTTAAAAAATCAGGTTTTGTTTTTAAATAGCCTGACTTGTGCTAAACCCTTTAGCTCTGGAAAGCAGAAAAGGCTAACTGCAGTTTACTTTTCATGCTTCAAGCTAAAATGTGAGGCCTCTAAGCTTAGGCAATGAAAATAGCCTAGTTACTTTCAAAGTTTAGATGCCCTAATGTGAGCAGAGGGCTTTGCCACACAGTGATGACTTGTAAGAGGGTGGCATTTCTCGTCTTCTGGTGCTGAGCTGCCTGCCACTCCTGTGGTGACTGGGCTTGGACAGGTTAAACTAGAATGACTTGATTGGTATAGGGCGGTGTGGATGAGTGGAGTTCTCTTCTGTATATAACTTCTTATATAAACTCCTGTCAGGGTTGGCGTTCTTAGCATGTATCCTGAGAACTGAGGAGATGGCTCAGGGTCCCGTCCAGTTCCTGAATCAGCTGAAGCTTAAAGGGAACAGAATGCCCCGATTCTCTCCTCCTAGATAGGATGGAGAATAAAAACTGAGTAACAGTATACCATATCATAACCACATGCTGATCACTTGATGTTACCTTCCTTGGGTCATTGTTTCACATTATGCACGATTGCTTGAAAGCTGTTTGATCATTCAGTGAAATGACTTTTGTGTAGGTGAAATATTGCTGTGTTTGTGTTCATAATTATGTATGTCACAGGAAAAGAAACACGAGTCACGTCTTTGTTTTAGCACTTTGATTAGAGCTGGTCACAAGCCTCAGCAGAAGGATTTGTCTTTGGAACAACAGTTCTGCTGTAACTGAAATATCTCCCTGAAACTGTCAGTTTGGCTAAAATTTCATTTGGGAGCATTAGAAAAAGCAGGATGGCAAAAAGCTGGGCTTTAGACCTTGCAGGGCAGTGGCAATGCTGTTACTTCTCTTCTGTAAATAACTTTTTATATAAACTCCTGTCGGGGTTGGCGTTCTTAGTATGCATCTCTTTTTTTGTTTTGTTTTAGACAAAAATTTAATTTATACAAATAAATGAATTTTTTTAATGATTTTATGCAAAAAAAAAAAAAATATCTGGGGTTAGTCGCAATGTGGCATTTCAAATTGAAAAATAATTCAAACTGTCATCCACAGAACAGAATTCCTGTTCTCTGACTTTGGTGTTGACACTTGTTAAGTAGAAAGATGTACGGCTTGTACGTGATGACCATTACCTATCTGAAGGATGTATTCCTTCCTTCCTCTCCCTCTTTGGTTTATCCAGTGCACGTCTGCTTTTATCCTGGGATGCCTAAAGACTTGACACTTACCAAGTCATATTTTTATTTTAAGGAATGGATCACTTCTTGTTTGGGATCTCTGATGAGATGAAGCAGACGCACAGGGAACAGCTTTTTGCTGTGAGCCGTGAAAACCTGATGGATGTGGCAAACAAGTGAGTCTGTGCTCGTTTTAGAAATGCAGACTAAGTTTACTTGCAAGAATCTGATGGAGGAAAATGCTTCAATTGCTGGGAATAGTCTGACTCACCAAACTCCCGGACAAGTCATTGCCATCTCTCTCCGGTAGCCTTTAACCCACTATAAAGTAATTGTTTCTGTATTCACTTCATGACCTCACTATGCCTGAGTCATTATTTTCCAATTAGGGCCAAAAAAAAGTCTGAGGTATCCAGTACAGAACATATTGGTACTAAAACCCAAAATTGTGATTCCAAAATCTGTCACTCAGCTGCCTCCTGACACTAGAGATGCCTCAACTTGTTAGGTACCTCACTCTTTGCACTGGGGGTTCCCTGCAGTTCTGCCTTGTCCATGCCTGTTTTGCCCCAGTCTGACCTGAGGCATCTACCTCCTTCCAAAACCCCACTTGGATCCAGAAACTAAGTGGAGCTCCGCAGGGAGCCCAGTCCTTTATGGGCACTGAAGCGGCAGCATGAACTCAGCCCAGACTGTTGAAGCCAGGAAGTGAGAGACATGCTGTTCTTGCCCTTCTTTGGACTCAAGAGAATCCTAGCCAACACTTTTTAGCTGCTTCATCATTGCTCCTTGGACTGAATTTGACACTGGATAAAAACCAAAAATAATCCTGAGAGTCTGCCTGGAGCTCAAGACTTCCCCTGTTAGCTGAAAGGTCTAACCACAAAATTACAGAGCCAGGCTCTTCCTTGCTTTATGTTCCTGGCCCCATGACACTTGAGGCAGATCCTTTTAGAGCTACCGCATTTTCTCACATACACACCCCCAAATAAGACATGCACCTTGTTTTGGGAAGGCTGAATGTAGAGAAAAAGATTTTTTTTTTCAGTTATGGTTGACTTAATGATTTAACATAAGGCCTGGAAACAAAGCATCCAACGAGTGTGCCGTCCCAGGAAACAGTCTGGGTGAAATGATGGGAACTTCCTCGTGTGGCAGGACAACAGCAAGGCCAGGCCTGAGACACTTGCAAACCCAGGAGCATAACTGTTAGTTCTCTACTCTAAATAGCTCTTTATATAAATTCCTGTATATAATAGAGTACTGTTTCCACATCCCAAGCCTCATCAAGATACTAGAGACTGCATGCAGTTCACTTGCCCGGAGATAGCTTAATTACTGCTTCAAGAACAAGCTACTGCAAATTTCCCAGCAGCTGGAATAGGGTTAACAGAGGACTCTGCTTGCAGGGGCTGGAGAGAAATAGCAGTCATTAGAGCACAGTGTCTGCATGCTTCTACTCCAGCGTTTTGGAGGGATGATTTTTTCTTGGGAAAGGGGCTTGTGAGTAAATAAGCCTAAGATTGAGCTTATTCTAGCTATTCAAGTCTGTGCCCAGTGGGGTAGGTGGTTTCAGTGAGTATAGAAAACAGATGATTTTGCTTTCCCTGATGTATGAAGTGTGAACTCCTCCCTTAAGATGAGTAATAGCAGTGTGATATTTCTGTCTTGCATCATACCTAATGGCTCCATATTAAAAGGCAGAACAAGATCCTTTTCTAGAAATGTTCTGGGTTCAGGATTTATCCCATGAGTTCCTTTGTTTGTCATGAAATTACATTAAATTATTATTTCAGCAGTAGTGTAACTAGGGGTGGGTGAGTGAGGTACCAGCCCTGGGGGCTGTTTTAAAAGGGGTGCAACAATGGCAGCAGCTGTTGCTCCTGGCCCCACCTGGCCTTTTGTACTGCCCTACCTGCTGACACTCAGGGTGCAAAACTTCCTAGTTTACCTCTGAATTTCAGCCTAGAATTGAGAGGTGGCCAAGAGTTGTTACAGCATAGGCATTTCCCATCTGGGTTCCTCTATCCTGTTGCATACCCTTGATGGATTCCATTCTCCAAAACAGATAGGACTTAGATGTTGTACTGAACAGAAAAACGAAGAGACATCAAATTGGGTGGAAAGGAGGGAAGAAATGCCTTAAATTTGTCTGTGAACAGATGCATTTTTCATAACTACAGGATCTGCTTTAAAAGCAGGCCTGGCGAGATGTGGCTAGGAACAAGAACATTTAAGAAACAGTTTGGGCTTTGATTTCTGAGATCTTCACCTTCTCCCTGTATTCCCATAACTGTCATGTGACAGAGGAACAGAAGAGACTGACAAACCAAAAAGCTTGATCATTTAGAATTTTTCAACAATACTGCACGTTTCTCCTGCTGGTTTTTTCCCTGTTGGTTAGTAATCTTGGCCATGGGGAAGGTACCTGATGAAAGGACATATGATGGAAAGCAATTGTTGTAATTGAGACGATGCTGTACAAATGAGAACTTTCACAGAGCAGAAAGTAGATGGATGGGGTCTTTACTTTCTAATATGTAGCAGTTGAAAGTAGATAAAATGACACTATAACTTTCTTTTGCAGATACCTGGCAGCTGGGAAGAGCACACGAGGTCTAGCTATCCTGGGCCCAGAAAACGCAGACATTGCCAAAGATCCCTCATGGGTCAAGCGATGAGTTAGTGCTGAGCATCTGGCTTCAACTCCAAAACAAGCGGATTCACATGACCTTAATGAGTATTAGAATTTTTTATTTTTAAGCCTGTGATGGTCCAAGTTGTTGTTACAACTTCTGCTCCACATGCAACAAGCCATTTGGCTGCCTTTTCTCCAGTAACCCATGAGTTTTGATTCAACTATGTGAAGGAAGATTTGGCTTTACAGTTGCCTAGGATTTCAAAGTGAAAGCTACCTGATCATCTATGGTTTGGTTTCTACCTATTGACTAACCTCAGTGGCACAAGTGCAAGCTATATAAATGAAATATTTTTGTAAAAGTAGAACTTGAACCATGTTTATTTGAAATCATGCCTGTTACAGTGTCTTTTTAAACATCAGCTGTTGGATATAAAGAGCTTTAAGTATTAAACTGGTCCTTTGTAGTTCTTTCTTGGTACAATTAATTTTTCACAGCATAACAAGATAGGAAACTTTAAGTTTTGCATCATTGTAGGGCTGTTGGTTCAATAGACTATTTGTACTACTATTTGGTAGTTTGAGGACATGGATAAATGCTCAGGTTTTGTGCCGTATATTACATGACTACTACCTATAACAGCAGTTCCCCACAACCATGCTTCCCCTGTAGGTAACTAATTCATAAACTGCTATTTTGATGAGCACTCATTTGTGTAAGGTTTTTTCTTCTGTTCAGTAAAGTTTGGCCAGAGGTAAATCTGGTTAATCAACGTGATAAAAGTAGATACATGACCATGGTATAGGGGAAAAAAAAATATTATTAATGTGACACAGCCTCATGGTAAAACTGGAATGTCATAATGGATCACAGGCAACTCTGGCTGTATTTCAGGGTTCTTCCTGCCTCATAGAAAAGTTACTGGTCTCTAGAAGAAACAGGCAGCTGTGCAGGTATGTCCATCCTCTGCTACCCAGAGCAATGGCTGCTGTAAGTGCTTTAGCTGTTGCCTAATAGTAATTTTAACATGCAACTTTCCATACCCCCCTGGAAGAGGAAAAAGGAGTTCAAAATGAATAGTTTTGAAGTGTGGATGTTGCAAAAGAAGTCGCAGCTGTTCTTAAGGACTCATACTCTAAGCACTTTCCCTTCCCCATGCCTCAAGTGCTAGAAATCCTCTTATATTTCCCAGAATATTGTCCTAACAACCAAGCTGCAGGGCAGGAATGGCTGAAAGCAGCTACCAGCCTACAGAAGTAGAACATGAGGTCAAGTAGAATATTATTTCATGGCTAAAGGCAGGGGTTCTCAAACTGGGTCTCACACCCCCAGGGGGGGTCACGAGCAACTTTTAAAAGGGGGCTGCAAACTTCCCAGTGGGTATGCATGGGGAAGCATTGAGTGGTAGATGGCAGTGGCCGCTGCTGCATACAAGCTCCCCATCCCCCGCTGCTGCCATCCAGTACTTGGGCATCACAACGTTTGAGAACCCCTGGCTTAAGGTTTAAAAACTAAGTACTACACGGGTATCTTAGCAGTGAAGTAGAATTTGCACTAAAGAACACACAAATACTTACACTATTTGTTTGCAAGGGTACTTTATTCCACTTCGGGTACATAAACATAACCTGTAATTTGACATAAAGCTAGCCTTCTACATATACTTGGAGTGTGAATACTCTTGGATATGAAGTGCAATAAATGAATAGATTATCACACTGAGTGCATAGAATTATGTTGAACTTACTGTTGATAAAGGATTGCCTCGGTAACTGATGCTTGTTTGTTAGATGCTAGGGTGTCTGTCAAACCTAAGACAAATACTGGGCAAGGAATCTGAGATTTTAAATTTCTTATTTCACATAAAGTGCTGATACAATAATTTAAGTGTTACAAAACAAAGCTGTAACCAATATATTCTAAAGCATTGTTACACACAATGTAGGTCTATTACAACTGTATCTAAAAGGATTCCTTTAGATGGCCCCAGTTTCTGCTTCTTTCGGTCTATGCATCGCTACATGCTCCAGCTGCCCTGAATCGGAGACGTCATAGCTAGTCTTGTATTTGGCCAGAATTTTCATCAGGGGCCGGAGTTTCAGCCACCATTGTTCCTTAGCAATTCTGTGCCTGTTTAGGAAGTGAGGAAAAGAAAGCAGTCAAAGCTGTTCTGTATGAACTACCCCAAATTCTCTTAATTAGAGAATTAAAGTTAATTCACTAAATTAAAGTTGACTGTTCTAATTCTGCTGTTGCAGGTAGCACAATTCATTTAAGTGTGCATCAATGGCCAAATCCTGCTTGTATCTTTGTATGACACCTCCACTCACTGAAAGAAGCATGGAGTAGACAAAAGCCAAACTGAATAAAAAGGAAGAAAATACTCGAGAGGCAGGTGGGCACGTATAACTTAGTTGTAATGATAATCTGTTGCAACACCTTAGATCAGAGGTGCAGGCCAGATGTGGCCTCTGAAGCTGGTATTAATGGTCTGTCACTGGCATGCGAACACTCCTGTCAGTGAATTCAGTGACGAAGGAAAGGAGGGTTATGAGCAAGGTTTATCTGTGCTGACTTGCTAGAGATGTTAGCTTTCAGGCAGCTCTAGAGCTCAGGGACTGAATACAGCTGCCATTTGTCTCCTGCTCCCCCTTGCTGAGCTGAATTCAGCAGCATGGAAAAAAGACGACAAGTGGCAGCGACGGCAGCACTCAGCTCCTGGTCTCCAGAGCTTCATGAAGTCTTTTGGCTCTGTGACACGTCAATAAAGACACTGGCTGGAGCCACAGCTTTTGTGTAGCCAGGAAGCTAAACGTCATTGCCATTTGCTTTGCCTCTCCTCCTCCTCATTGAATTCAGGACCAGGCAAAAGACAGCAGCAATGGTGGTGCTCAGCTCCTGGGCTGCAGAGCTGCACAAAAACTGTGGCCACAACCAGAGCTCATACTGGCGAGCTCAGACTTTTCAAGCAACTCCAGAGCCTAGGGGCTGAATGTTGATGCTGCTCTTGAGACCTTGTATAGTGCTCTTCTATGCCTCCCTTGGCTATTTCTGATTTTAAAGTTTGGCTTGTTAAAAAAAAAAAAAAAAAAAAAAAAAAAAAAAAAAAAAAAAAAAAAAAAAAAAAAAAAAAAAAAAAAAAAAAAAAAAAAAAAAAAAAAAAAAAAAAAAAAAAAAAAAAAAAAAAAAAAAAAAAAAAAAAAAAAAAAAAAAAAAAAAAAAAAAAAAAAAAAAAAAAAAAAAAAAAAAAAAAAAAAAAAAAAAAAAAAAAAAAAAAAAAAAAAAAAAAAAAAAAAAAAAAAGAGCACTACTGCCCTAAACAGTAACTGCTGAGAGATTTGTAAGCACCCGTAGGAGTAGACTGGGAGGAGAGATTTAGGAGGAGAGTCTTTGAAGGTGCTTATGGGAAAAATGGATGATCAAATCCAATATCTTAAGTGCTGCAATCAAAAACTTTAGCCAGGGCTATGTGGTAGAGCATCTTAAAGGTGGGACAAGGAGATTGTGCCAGATGTGATGGAAGAGAAGGCTGCTGGAAGAGGAAGGCCCCAGAGGGCCTTTTTTACTTACACAAAGTCTGTTTCACCCTTAAGCTCAGCCACAGGTTGGAAAACAAGATTGCGCCGGCGCATTCCCAGCAGACAAACAGTGTCATCGGTGTTGGCAAATACTTTTCCTAAAAGGGAGAAAAAAATAGTTTTAGTTTCCTACTCTATTACATCCACAGGGGCAAATTAGCTCTTTTCTCTTAAAAACAAATGGAGGAGCAAATTCCTGGGAGGATTCTTAATTCTGTTCAGTTTAAAATGGACAGTAATGGTTGAATTAGTACTTTAATGATGTTAGGAAGATCTTCATTTCAATGAATTAGTTTGATGATTGAACAATAAAACGTAATGAACTTAACTGATTATACTTCCCAAAATGATGCCACATGAACTCAAATTTTAGATTAGATTTCCCTTGGTAAATAGTGCCTTATGAAACAATTCCTAAAGAAGAGATATTACCTTCTTCTGTGTTCCATGCAGCCACCAAGAAGCAAAACAAAAAAGAACACATGTAACTATGACATCATCAATTCCTATAAATATGAAAATCTGACTGAACTAACAAAATCGCACACAAACCATGGTCAGCAGTATTTGAGTCCCTTTAGTATATTTTTTTTGGTCCCAGCTAACTAGAAACTCATTAAGACAGCAGTCAGCAACCTTTTTAGGTCCTGGAGTGACCTGGCTCGGGTCAGAGGCAGGAAGGCAGTGACTCGGCTGCCTCTGCGGCTCTTCCCAACAACAGTGGCTCCCCACAGAAATGTGACTGCTGCTGAAGTCCCCTGCCACTGAATACCACCAAAGCCTCATGTCTGCAGGTCAGATCTATGACTGGGCTGGATCTGGTCTGTGGGCCATAGGTTGCCAACCCCTGCATTAAGAAAATATTGCAGAAAGCTCAACTAAGCTAATGAGAATAGAAGAACTATACTGTACAACTATAACTGACAATTACTTAACTGGTTGCCATAGTTAGACTGTGCAAAATTAATACAAACAAGTTCAGCAGACTGAGATGCTGACTTGTTCCAAGTTAACTAGAAGAAAAGAGCATGATGGTAAAATAGCCAGAAGTATTGTGCACCTTTCCGGTATGTTTCCACAAGTTTCTTAGAGATCCACTGAATGGCTTTTGCAGAAATTTTCGTCCCAAAGTTTCTGTCAAACGGAGAAGGGGCACCACCCTGCCAAAGTTCAAAATGCAATTGCAGATCAGTTGGGGGTTAACTTTGCATGCATGCCTTTCAGTTCCACCCACTGTGTTTGGTCTTAACTGCTGCGCAGAGCCAGCCTTAAGGAAAATGATATCCTGGGCAAACTTGTTTTTTGGTGCTTCCCCACCATATTTTGGTGCCCGCTTCTCTCCCCAACTCAGCACTGCTGCTGCAGACAGAGGCTGGTGGGCAGGGTCACGGGGTGCAGTCCAGTGGGGAGGCAGAGCAGCATGGTGCACTAGGCAGGTAGGTGGGCAGGCAGGCGCCACTGCTGCTGTGCAGGAACAAGGCAGGTAACCCGGAGTAGGCACCACCCTGCCCACATGTGCCCAGTCTGGCTCCTCCTGAGCAGTGGCTGGAGGCAGGGAGTGGGCTGGGCACTGCTCCTCCAGCCTTGGGTGTGGCGGGGGGAGAGCACTGCTGTGAGTGCCGGCTGCTCATGTGGTACCCTCCTGACCATGGCGCTTTGGGTGGTCATCCACCCCGCAGGCTACCTCTGTTGCTATGCCTGTCACCCTTTTGTCTGCCCTCTCCCCTGCCTTTTAAAAACACACCACACAGTCACACACACAACTGCATCAACTTCATGCCAAGACTCTCAATGTGGTGGTCTCTAAAGAAACCTTGATTTTTCACATGGACTTTTGGACCTATTGGTCCTAATTCTGAAAAGTGCTTAGGGCTAGATGTAGATGCCTGGAGGAACTTAGGTGAATCTCGTTGCTTAAGTGCATACAGCGATCCAGAATAACTCCACTAAAGCAGCCACAAAAGAAGAAACTAACTTCATTTTGGACTGCCAATATTCCTGGGTGCCTACACAAAGACTTCTGGCGTCAGAGGCTGGCTGCCTAGTTCCTGCCTAAGCTCTGCTGTGATCCAGATACAAGGCACAGCAGCACCTAAACTCCACTGATCTGGTCCGTGTCCTCAATGATCATGGCTGCAACCTTTGTACTGAATGCAATGCTCTTGGCAGGCATTACCCAGTCAGCTAGAGGCATTGCTCCTGCTCCCAGGATTATGTCTGCTTTTTCACCAATGTAATGTTTCCATCAGTTTAATATAAAATGCACAAGTGGTCCAGGGAGCGGAACTAGCACTCCTCCCTACTGGCTAAGCTACAGCCCATGCTCCCTCCTGTTTGCGCTCTTCCTGGCTGCAAAGTATTCCAGCTTCAGTAGGAGGGGGTGGAGACTGCCATTGCCCAGACTGCCATTCCTGGCAACTGACTGGCAACTGGGGGATGTGAACTTCAATCCCATCAGGCCTAGAATTCAAGTCTCCCACTTTCTGGGCTCGATCTACTAAGCACCATGTAACAGGTGAGCAGAATCACTAGTCCGCCTCTACTCAGGTGCCTCCAAGGAGGACTCTGGACTGTAGTGCTGACCAAGGCACTTGCATTTCAGGAGATCGGGGCAGGAGTTCAAACATAACCCTGTGCTTAGCATTTCCTGTTGGTTAGCCCTATGCAGTCAGCTGTTCTCCAAAACACCTTTCAGAAGCACCACTGACATACAGGCAGTCTAAGCACCTAACCCTGTTTCATTATTTATCGGGGTACAGGTGTGCTAAAGGTTGAAGAGGCCTATGAGGCCAAGCTGGATTTTACCTCTAATCACATGTTGAACTGTCAGGCTAAAAACAGATGTTGGATTTCCTTAGGGGCAAAGCCTTTTATCCTGGGGTTCTACAGACTGAAATATTCAGTGCTCCACTTTAAGTACCTGTGAAGTATCTGAGGTATTACTTCTTCCACTGGACAACTGGAGCTAATTCCAGGTAATTGCTGTTTCAGCTCTGTGTGTAAACACCTGTGTCCATCCTCCTACCCTCCCTGTTTTGATGGAGTCAGAGCCCAACACAATCTGTTTTTACCCACACTGAGACTTAACCATTTTGTGTGTGTGCACGCGTGTGGTGAGGGGTGGGGAAAATCAGCCCAAATCCCACCTCTCTTAGTGTTCAAGTGGTGCTGCGATGCTGTGGGAGCCTATGAGAGAGGTATTAAAATAAGTCTTTTTGGGGTATAAAAAGACATTTGTATATAAAAAGTGACACTGTAGGAAAACAAAAGAGCAAAGAGTTTTGGGGAGAAGGACCACAGAGATTCAGAAAGAATCTGCTGTGATTGCCTCGTAAAGGAAAATGAAGTGAGGCTAACAACATTAGGAGGAAAACCCTCTTTGTTACATTCATTTCATCTCAGGAGTAAAAACACATGTAGGTAAAATTGTTGGGAGTCCTAGAATTGGGCAGGCCCTTTACATGTACTCAATGACTAGTATCAATAGTTTTTAATCTCACTTACTTGTTGCATGTGACCCAATACATTCTTTCTGCAGTCAAACACACCTTTTCCTTCCTCAGAATACAGCTGATAGATGAAGTCAGTTGTGTAATTCTCATTGCAGTTTTCATTCCTGTAACACCAAACACAGTCAGGCCAATTACAGTCAACAGATCAGTAAATAATAGCCTCCTTTACAAAACCAATGACACTAAGTGAGGGGCAGGTCCCACTCTGACAACTGTTATGCCAGCTCCCTGGGATCAGTCCAAAGGGCTCAGTTATTTCCAACTCTACCACCCCTATGTTTGGTCTTTCACGGTATGTGCAAATAATCGAGCAATTTTATTACAAAAACCTTGAAATCCATGTTCTAATACAGTGGGAGCCAACCTTTTGGCAGACATTACAAATTAGCTCCTCACCGTCCCCAAGTGCCAATTTAATCCCCTTCCCCTCTGTTTTCTGCCCCCAGCCCCACACTCCTTGCCTGATCGGCAGGCCTGCTTTCTGCTTCTTTCTCTGTTCCCTGCCCAACTATCTGCTCTGCTTTCTGTTCCCTGCCCTATCTGCCGGTGTGCTGCCTGTCCTCTCCCCAGTCTGCCATGTGTCACACACAGAGGCTGCCTGTGCACTTGTGGCACCCACGCTGCAGGTTGGACACCCCTTTTCTAATACATAAGAAGTCTATATCCACAGCTACAAAACTCAAGTTTCTCTCCCTTCATGTGTACTTTTGAAGATTAGATTAGCATGCTGGGTGAATAGGCCTGGTGATTTCCTGCTACAACTCATTTCTCAGACTCTGGAGCTTGCTTCCTCATTGTTTTAAGAGTAAGAAGTAAAGTCTGTGAAGAAACATAGCAAGGGCCAGACTGGGTCTGACCAATGGTCCATCTAGTCTAATAGATGATGGTAAGGTTGCAATGGATGAGAGCCGACTAGAGAAAAAAGGTAAGATTCAAAACCATGCTAGTTAACATGTCTTAAGATCATTGTGTAGAGACACAAAAATATTGTATTTAACTAGTGTTAGCTGTTAAAGTGCAAGCTGCCTTGCCTACACCAAGTTTTAGCATGCTGGTTACCAAATTTTAACTATCTTCATTCCTAGTGAAGGCAAGGGCAAAAAGAAAGTGAGGCATATGGCCTCTTTCAGATCTTGACATCATTTACAGAAGAAATGATGGAAAGTCTGAATTGCAGATTAGTAGATTTTAAATATCCTTATTTGTTTCCAGTTTTATGAACCACATATGTCACTGTGATCAATTATTGCCCCAGATGTTTTAATACCAACTTATTACAAGTACTTGATAGTTACATTTATCATAAGATTTTTCTAGGCCTTCCTTACAACGTCAGAACATAACTGATGACAGACTCATTTATGAGAGTTTTTAAGAGGTACATTTGAAGGTAGTGTGGCATCTTCTTGAAATTCCGCTTCTTGTTCATAGTCTCTATATGAGATTGAAGAGATCCAGAGCTCTGAAAGTTGAATTGATACAATGTGTGGAAACTCAGTTTAGGTGTCATGTGGGAAGGAAAAAGAGAAAATTAAGGTTTGATACAGATGCATCCAGCTTGTCTAGAACATAAGGCAGATGGAAATGCTGACAACATGCCTTTAGGCTGCCTTCATATAGGACAGACCAGAAGTATTCTTAAGAGTAAATAGTTCAAAATGTCACTCTAAGCCACTCTGACTAGATTAGGAGCAAAGTTAGACAATATGAAGTTGACATGTAGGAAACTTCTTCACCTGTCAGGGTAAACCTGACATGGCAATTTTTTTTCTCTGACACCAGGTGAAGTCTGAAGTATGCCACTGTATGCAGATGATCAGAACAATGTGTGTGCGCCTCAAGACATTCCAAGTGCTAATTCAAATTTAAGAGCTGCACTGATCCTCTGCTAGCCCCTCAACACAGTAGTAAATTTCATCCTTAAAACATTAAAAAAAACAAAATAGCGCTTCGTGTAATCTCCTTTTTCCATTTTCTTCACTCTTCAGTTAAACTGCAACACTTGAAGGTATAATCTAAAACCCCAGATCATTACCAGAAAAGAGCTAAAATGAGAATTAAGCTTCAGTTTTTCATTTTGAGGGCTTAGACCGGATCCTCAGTTTCACTTTTTCTTCCACTATAAATTCCTGCTAAGAAAGTATTGAGTCTGTTCATTGATTCTACATGGCAACAAAGTTTGTAAAATACTTCATTTTCATGGAACAGGCTAAAGAAATGACCTTACCTCAGCACTAGACCACGCTGGATGCTGGTTTTCATCTTTTCCGTCAAATGTTCCACATTAGCCTAGAAAAAATAAATGTGTTTTTAACAAGTCATGCAAACCATGCTGAATCAAACATGATAAATCTGCCATTCAAATGATCAACAATTTCTTGCATGTCCATCTGCACCTGATAAGAGTAAAAGTCACCAGTTTGAGGTTAATACTAACTTCTTCCACCAACTTCTACCAACAACTATTATTTCAATAGCATGCACTGCATTTTGGGCGCACACAATCCAGTGGCAAAGCAGTGAGCTTGGTATTTTTGATGCATTTATTTACATGGGAACACAGGAATTTTGATGGTGAATCAAACCCTAAAATTGTCTAAATCCAGATGCCCGACTCCAGCGGGCAGTACAAGACCAGATACTTCTGAAGATGCATAAATCCTGCAGTAGATACATTTAGTATAGGTTGGACAGCCATTAGTCAGCGATAATCTAGGTGTAGCTATATCTATACTATACTGTGGGCATTCCCCAGGCTTCTGGGCTTTGCTGATTGCTGCATGGAGCTGGGAAGGATTCCCCCCTCCCGCCCCCTTTTTCTGTTACAAATGTCAAGATTGGGGTTTTTTTTTCACTTTTCCTTAGAGGCATTGGGTGTTGGCTGTAGCCAAGATTGGGGATTCTGACTGGAGGATGCCAATGCTCCTGGTAGGACTAAAACCCAGAGGTTCCTAACTAGAGAATCTTGCCCCTCTGATCAGGGTTGGACCAATTGCCACATTTGGAGCCAGGAAGGAATTTTAACCCATGGCCAGACTGGTATGAACCATGGGGGTTTTTGCCTTCCCCTGTAGCAGGGGGAATGACCTTCTTCCTTGGTCTCTGAAACATATTTTAACAAACCCTGCAGCAGCAAGACACTGCCATTGTCCCCCTTGCTTTACCTGTGACAAGTTACAGTGCTATCTATGCCTTGTGGTTCTGTGACAGGGTTGCCTATATAGTTTTAGTGATAGCTTAGACAAGGATGGTTTGGAGAGGAATGATCCTGCCTCAGGCAGGGAGTTGGACTAGATAATCTCCAGAGGTCCCTTCCAGCCCTACTTCTCTATGATTTAATGAAACAAAATTTTCCTTTTTATTTTGCTCAGTTATGCCTATTTAATATGTATTAATAAGCAGAAACTTAAAGCATTATTCATCCACGTAATGAAGCCAGTGTGACTAGGTGTTGCATTTTTGGCCCTCTGTCTGTGTTTAATACCATAAATGAGGATTGACTGCCTGCATGGTCTACTATAAAGTGCATTCACACTGACAGAATATTTTGAAATGTGTATGAATGTGTTTGGAATGGATTTAAAAGTGGCACAACCTACTAATACAAAGTATAATATGCTTTTATGACATTATTATCATAATCATCTCTATATTATTACTTTTGTTGTTATTATTACAAATAATGCATAAATAGTAAGATTTACGTAAGTATGCTTTTAGACCCTTTTTAAAATTGACCAAAACATTTAAAATACAAACATACTGCATACCTGGAGCTCTCGAATATCAAACTTCTCTTCAAAGATATAAGCAGCATCAGCACCTGCAGCAAGGCCCCCCATATTGGCCAGGTAACCGCAGTAACCACCCATGGTCTCAATGATGAACACACGACGTTTGGTCCCACTGGCTGACTGTTTGATGCGATCACATGTCTAACCAAAGCACAGAACATTAGCAACTCGAACATGAAATTCATTACCATACACTGTATAATTCTTTATCATCGTAATAAGATTACTAATCTTTGCATTCGAATGGAAATGTTACCATGTCAAAGATAATTTTATTTTGGAGGACTACATTTCTTCAGTCACATCTTCTATATTAAAAATAGAGTCACTTGGCAAATATAATTAATGCTTATTTTATCCTTCTGGCTGGCTGGCTGCTTCCTAAAACTGCTATAATAGTAATGAAGTTTGGGGGACATATGCACTTCTGATGGCATTCTTAAAACTGTGGGGTGGCCTTCTAAACAAAGCTATAAAAAAAAAGAAGCATGCTCTGTGATCTAGAATAAAACAGTCTGGCTGGGCTCTAATTCAACTCTGATTACAATTAAACAATTCTCAGCCCAGTGTTTCTCAATCTTTTTAGACTTAAGGCACCCCTCATTATTCCTAAAGCACCCTATATAAACTTTTGTGAATTGAACAGCACTGCATTTACAAAAATTACAGTATTTACTTCCTCACAGAGGTACCAGGTTGCTCAGGCAAGGGAGTGGCCAGGCATGAGCCTGCCCTTATCTGCTTATCTCATCACTCTTCAACATCTTTCAAAAGATCTTGAAAGATCATCCCTGCTTGCATGTCACTACCCTAACCAGTTGTCTTTATAACTGGAATTTAATAGGCTACAGTCTTTGGTTTCTACTGATTCATTTCCCAAACATAATATCCATACAGATTCTCCTAAAATTTCCACTAAAGCCAATTTCTACTGTTTCATGCCCAGGAGCACACACAGACTGTGGGAACCCAACACCTTAACCACATCTTACCTACACTGTATAAGATGATATCTGTAGGCTTATACAGGTGACAGCAAGTTCTATTTAAGCTGAGACATAAACAATAATCTACAAACATTAGTTCATAAAAAGATAAAAGCAATAAATACTGTGCTAAGAACTGCAGAAGCTACAGGACACAGATTTAACATGAACTACCAGGCATCTCTCAATTCAAATAGCATTCAAGAAACTTCTTGGTATTTTCACGTCTTGTTGAAATGAAAGTGATCACAGGGAAACTTTCTAAAAATGACCAGAAAGGACACAACTTCTCAAAAACTTCCCCCTTTAACACACCCTGAATTGAATGTTAAAATCAAGGGATCTCGTATCTCTAAATGTTTGTGAGAACACTGGCCTTTCCTTGAATCATGTCAAATAATTCATAATATTTATTATTTTGTAATATATTTTATATTACCAATGGTTAGGATGACTGAAGAAAAAAAAAAACACACTAATAATTTTTGCACTGTTCTTTCACTTTCAGAATAACTGGATGGAGAAGCCCGGATTTACCACCTGGATCTGTCACTAACTAGAAAGATTTTATCCAGCTCAAGGGTGGCTGTAATACAGGGATTCTTATTATCAGATCAGCTGCTCTAAACTTGATGCAGAAATTATGGGAAAGGCATAGTTGACTGTTATACAGGAGATGAGGCTAAATGATGAGAATAGTCTTTTCTAGCTTGAAAATCTGAGTATGAATCTATTAATCAAAAGTTTTTCATCTCAATAACTAGTTTTTCCCAGGTTCCACCAGGAGTACACTATGGTACCATCTCAGTGTCTATAGTATGCCATTCCCAGAAGTATCTAAGTACTATGTTATGTAGCATCTAGCTAGCTAAATATTAAAACCAGTAATTATTCTTTAACATTACAGCAACCTGTAGTATCAAGTAGTAATAATGGAAATGTGGCCAGTTTTTGTAGCAACACATTTTGAATCTAAACGATTGTGGAAAGCTGTGCTACTTACAGTAAAATGGCATTATATAGAAGCAATAGCTAAGGGATATAATAGCAATAGCCAACTCTATGAAACGTAGAGCTCTTTATGCTGTGGGGATTTCTCCCATATTTGCATTCTTTGGTGAAGGCTTTTGCCTCATTGATATAAGCCATGCTACTCTGATCTGCTGTTTTCAGATATAGAAATTAAGATGGGAAAAACACCTCTGCCCTGCCTCTGTTTCATAGTGTCATACTCTTGCCACCGTTTTCTCATTGTGCGCCAGAATGAAACCAAGACATTTTGAATTTTTCTCCCCGCCACAAAAAAGGTGAGGAGACAGACAGGCTCACATCTCTGCTCTGCTTGTTTTACAGCAGGGAAACAAACCTCACCTAGATGAGGACCCTGGCTATCATATAACTAGGTTTCATGACATGGCATGGGTCTCTTTCAATCTCCTTCACTGGAGCTGATCCACTTCGAGTATATATTAACGTGTTGAACCTGTCCTACCCAAATGTCCTACTTATTCATTTTTCACTTTCAGTCTTGCTCTGGCCTAATAAACTGGTAATTATTTTTATGAAGTGGAGCAGTTTAAAATCGGAGAGAGTGAAGGAGCCTCAGCTGACTCTATAGCCCAGTGGTTAAATGATTCATCTGGTTGTGAGAGACCGGTTCAAGTCCCTGGCTTTGCAATTCCCCGCCCCCCCACCGCCGGGAATGGCCCTATTCAGCAAGGCTATTGTGTAAAGTAAAGGAGCTTCTGTGCTGCTACTATAATAGTTGGACATTAAGAAAAATGTCATAGTAGCAAGGGACACATCTTTCTGAGCAAGGTCGGTGACAAAAATCAATGTGATTTGTAAGCTTTGGTGACAAAAATTGGAAGAGAATAAAGAAAATATATGAAATAAATAAATAAATAAATAGACACTAAAAAACGTCTTTTGATTGAGTTGACATTTCTGTTTTTCAAGTAATACTAAGAAGCAAGTATTAGAAAAATATAAAATCCCGTATTTTGAATATCAGAACATGTTTGTGTTATAACATGGAGAGAAAATTACATCTTTGGTGGCAATAAGCAGAGTGGGCCCTTCAACAAAATTTGAACCTGCCCATTCTGATCATCTGGCCCATTTCAAATGAAAAGCTTGAAAATCTTAACTGAAACCTGCACAATCTTGATGATATTTCACATGTCAAGAATTTTGGTGACACAAGCATTAACATAGCCAATGTACAAAATTCACTTTAAATATTTTAAGCGTGGCAGTCACTAGGCCCCAATTCAGCAAGACTTAACAGTCAGCACATGCCTGATCCCACTGAAGTCAAAGCACTACTCAAACTTAGAGTTAAGTATGTACGTACATACCTCCTGAACTGCAGCCTTAGTCACTGCCTTTGTAATCATTGTGTTTACTTTTCAAAGATGAATGTTTTCTTGCTTCATTTTATATAGCGAGTAGTTTTAAACAAATCAATTCAAACAACAAGAACCTTTATTATTAGTGAAAACAAATGCCCTAATGCATTGAAATAGTGAGTCTATGACATTATCTAAAAGAATCCCCCAAACCATAAGCTAAACAACATCTGGTGTAGTTAATTCAATTTGAATCAATTTAATCTTCAACCAGACATAGAAACATTGACAACTTTCCAGTTAGAGAATCTTAATGATTTAAACTATATTTTTCAGGAAACTAGACATTTTCAGGTCTTTCTGGTATCTTAAAACTATACATTGTATGGTTTTAGTTTTAAAAGGAAATGCAGTCTTACCTCTACAATAGCATTCAAGGCAGTGTCAGCACCAATGCTAAAGTCTGTGCCTGGTACATTGTTGCTAATAGTAGCAGGCAATACACAGATAGGTATGCAAAACTCCTCAAAGCGGGAACGCGCCTCATATAATTGCAGACAACTTTCATAGGCCTGAAGCAGTGGTACAAGCATTATTAGTGATTCAGTCCTTGCCAATGGATGATAAGTTATTATGTACTGTGCTAGTGGCTCCTTGCATGTGATGGGAGGTTTGGCTTTCCATTGGCACAAAAAACCCCACAACCAAAATTGGTGATGTTTAGAAAAAAAAAACAATGTCCTGTAAATACCACAACAGTGCACTTGGGTTGCATTGGCACAGTGCTCTTCTGAAGAAAGCCCAGAAGGAGGTTAATGTGAGTTAGTACAGAGTGAAAATGGTAGTGGATGGTGCAGAGATTTGAAGCGAAGCATAAATGTAAGCAGCATAAAGGTAGTGGAAGTAATGCTTCAAAAAGAAAGTTAAATGAGCAACATGTAGGCTATACACTAAAGGTGTTTTTTTTAAAGTCATCCAGAAGATACCTAAAAATGGAAGAAAATGTTTATGAATGTACTACTACTACTACTATGAAAGCTAATTTTTTTAAGCTACTCTGTTGTAGAAGGTAAAGATAAGCCTCTGTCAGCCTCAGAGAGACATATGTATGTATGCGTGTGTGTGAAAATAAGGTCCACATTTTCAAAGAATGTTTTTAAAAGCATACACCTGGAAACACCTATTTTGTGCATGCAGTTTGATTATTGTCCATAAAAATGCAGGAATGTCACATATGCAAACAAATTTGGTCAACAGGTTTGCAGGAACATTTTAAAATCCTTTCAAGAAAAGTGGCATTATGTGTCTTTTTTGTCATTATGGAGTTCCTAAATACTATACAAATCAGGAGAAAAAAAAATGTAGTGTGAGGTGTTTGAGCTGTTGCTGACAGCAGTATTACAGCAGTCCTAGCACCTATTCTGGAGATGAAGGACAACAGAATGTGCATCTGTTCTAATTTAGTAAGTGGGTAAGTCCAATTCTTCTTTAATATTCATTAAGCCTGAGCAACCACTAGACAGAGAGAACTGAAAATCCCTATATACATAATGAGTCTCAAAATGAAGTTTAAGTCTTATAGTACTTGATCCTGTTCGTCTCCTGAGGTTCATAGTAGTCTGGTCCCTTTTATATCAAAACAAAAAGAGCTGAGGCTAGTCAGCTCTTTTTTGACTGTTAAACCAGTTTGAAGAATGGGTGCAACAGCACCTTAAGGCCTTGTTATACAGTACTCAAGGCAGCTTCTGGAGCTCTTAACCCCTAGAATAGCTGCACATTAAACACCTTTTAAGTGGTTTAAAGTACTCACTTTAGTTTAATGTTACACCTCTCCAGGGTAGGATTTTCTATAATTTGCCTAATTTTGCTCCCATTCCATTAACTTGCAGCCATTCTCCATAGTTTTTCCACTCAAGTTGAAGTCCCCCAGCATCCCAGAAGGCAGTGGTTGAGTGAGGAAGCCAGGGCACAGCACCTTGCCAGGAGCAGAGTGAGTCAATCTGAGCAGTTGGGAGCTCTACCTCCCCACTGCCATTCACACCAGCTCTGCTCTCAGGCGCAGGGCTGGGAGCAGAGCTGGTGTGAGAGGCAGCAGAGAGGCAGCTCCACCACAAACTGGCTCACTAGAGCTGGGAGGAGAGCCAATCCAAGGGGCAGCAGGAGACACCAGGGCTGCAACACTGACTGCCCTAAAGGAGCAGTGAAACTGTCCTTCCCCTAGCTCCTAGTGCTGCCCCTGCTCAGCAGGCCTCTAATGGCAAGTCAAAGCTGTGCAGGTGAGGGGCAATCAGAGCTGGGTTTTTGCCTTAACTGTGTGACTGCTTCAATAAGCCAAACAGCACTAAACTGATTAACATCTGTTCATCTTATAGGATAAGGTCTCACAAGGCCCTCAGTTGAGTACTTTAGGGAAGCTCTGCAAGCCACCCAATCAGACTGCCCCACTGAAATCACCAGGCAGCTGTGCAGTGCAGTAATGGGAGAAGGTAAGATTTACCTGGGAGAGAGCATGAGTGGAGGCAGGAGACAAGTTCACAATTCTGAAGTCCACTCCAATCCAGGATAATTCAGAAAACTTTAGCAAATTTCACCTAAATTTTAATCTAGGGAAGAACTGTTTCTAATTTCTAGCTTTAGAAGCTGCCCTGTTAGGAAGTGCTTAGAAGTGCCAGGAATAAAGGAAGATATTTTCTTCCAATATCAGCCTTGTAAAAAGTCCTGATGGAAAAAAAAAAAAATCTAAGAGCAGCCGTTGTCTCAACCCTTACCCAGCCTTCTTAGAGCTTTTCCTTCCAATAGAAAAAAAAAATCAATTTGGGAGTTAGTCTTGTTTGGTACAACCTCAAAGCAGCTTGGATCCCAGCAAAGCACCAAAGAGCATACCTGCAGAGCTGTAGAGGTTTTGGGGAAAACAGCAGAGTTGGAGAGAAAGCAGTAACTGGTACAATCATTTAGTCACTCTATCATGAAACATACATTTCACTTGCATTAAATATTTTGCCACTTCATTTATTGCAAGTGGTTTAGTAAAGGTGTGAAGACTGTACTATAAGCCAGTATCACCATCACATGATTATATGCACCAACCTAACATTTGTGTTACCAGACAGATACAAATGCTTGTGTGACTGGTAGGTTACACATAATTAATAGAGAGCTCAGAAATTATTAATGGATAGTTTAATACAAAATTAATCATTTACTATAGATTAACAACTTGTATTCCAGTTCAAAAGGCTGCTGATAAGCCTTTATAATACTAACTGCTTGTGCCTGTTGCATGCTTATTGGATGTACCAATCAACTCTTAAACTTTATAAATGTGCCTTTAATATAAACTATATTAAAGTTCAACAACGTGCACTAATTCAGCCTCTAAGGCCCTAGCAGCCACTTTGCTGTTGCTGGTTCCCTACCCATCAGGATTAAATGATTCATCCCTTTCTTCAGCTGCTTCCCTAACCGACTGTCTTTTCCCTTCACAATTGGCTATGGCTATCACGTTTCTAGAACCTCCTCTTTTCCAAACAGTATCTTGGGCTGATACTTATCCCTTTTCTTCACACTTAATTCCATATCCACTAACTCAAAAATTCTCTTATTCCCATTTCCTGCTCAGATCTATTCTTTCAGTTAGCATCTCCTGGCTCATCATTAAGTTATGCTTTTGCTCCTCAATTATTGTGTTTCTCCTCATTGTTTTACCTGGCTCTGCTAGCTGTTGAAGAAACTGAAATTAAGGGGTGCAGACAGAAGTGCAACTCCTTGATTGTAACTCAGAACGCTTTATAGGAAGCATCCTGAGTTACAACAGTTTCCTGGACCAAACAGAAATTCACTGTTGATTCCAGAGGGGAGGGGAGGGGAATCTACCTGCTGGCTGCAGCCTGCAGCCAATTTCCCCTAGCAATGGCCCAGCCCCTCCTCCCTCCCAGATGTCCCTGTTTTCAGAAGAGGGGGGGGGGGAAGAAGCAGAGGGAACTCCTTCTAGTGGTTCTCCAGCCGATGCTGGAGGGCAGGATGGGTGAATTGGAGCCCCCCCACCTCGAGTGGAAGCTCTAGTACACCCACCTTACCATCCAGCAGGGGCTGAAAAAAACCCTAGACTCAATTCCTTCTTCTCCCTTTCCTCCCTCCCATTCTGAAAACAGCTTGGGGGCTGGCAGACAGATAGACAAAAATTACAGAAGATGCTGTTTTGAAAAGTCTTCATCTGAACCCTCAGGTAATGAGGGTTCAGATTTTCACCTGACAGCCATTTCTGAAGTGGTCTGCAGCCATGCACTTGTGTTTGGTCATAGCTATAGATAGCTTTCTGTGGCCAGATCCGGCAAAAATTGTCACTTCTGTCTGCACCCTTAATTTCATTTTTTCACTTTATTTAGGACCTCAGATCTGTAGAGTCACAGGGCACAGAATTTGTTGAGAAAACGCTTTATTGATTTACATTTGGTTACAGAATTCCAGATTTAATTTCAAAAGCTTTAGCTTTCATGATCATAAAGAAAACAAACCTCTCTATCATGGCCCTGAAATAATAGCTGCAAGCTGTCTAATTCATCTCAAATGAAGCTAGAAGAGAATTCTAAGTGTGGTGTGCCAGAGAACCATATTATCCAAGAATCTTGCAACAGACTTTAGATCTTGGTGCTGAGAACTACACAAGCCTTGGCTGTACCGTACCAATTTTATTTTGTTTTTTTTATGATACGTCAGGGTACAAAGTGCTATTTTGTACTCCTCATCTCTTATATAGCACTCTCATAAACTCTCAGGCCTATTGACTCTATAATACTTTCCCCAAATCCAATTAACAGAAAATATTTAGGATCCAGATTTTTAAAGGTTTTTAATGAACTGTTATATTCAAGCACTGCAACACCCAATGCATTTTAGAGCCCACAGCTCATTTGCAAAACTGAAAGTCATTGACAAATCTAAATACCAGAGATTTCTGGGAAACTAGGGTTGGCAAGCCAATCAACTGATCTGTCAAACAATGTCAACTGACTACCCATTATTTGACTAGTTAAAAATTGTCAAATATTTTAAAAAGTCAAGAATACCCTTGTGTAGGTGGTAGCCTGCCATTTTTAATGCATCATAACAAGGGCTTGTGCACACAGACATGCACACACTCTCCCTCTCTCTCTCAAAAGCAGATGCACTCTGCACTAGTCCTCACTCCTGGGCTCTTCCAGCCTCTTTTCACTCTCCCACTTGATAAGCCATGGCTGCAGAACATATTCTGTGCTGAAGGAAGAATCAAAACCAGGATCACAGAAAAGCTTCCCCCTTGGCCATCTGCTGTAATTGCAAGCATCTCCAAATGCAAACAGTAGAATGCTTGAACACTTGGCCTGCTGCCTATATAGCATAACTGCATTTTAAAAACTGACTTTTGTCTTTTATAGTTACTATGTGCCTTTTAGTTCTGTTTAATATAATTTTTATTTGGAAACTATTTTATCCTGGTATGTAGGATAAAAGCCAAGGAAAAGAAGAACTGTTCTATCTTGAATATCATTAACATTTACACTTACCTAACATTAATAATTATAAAAAATCATTA